AATCTTATAATTGATAATCATCTTGAGTAGCATTCTTAGTGTGCTACTCCTTTTAATCGTAAATTATTTTTGTAATGTTTTTTTCCCTTAAATATATCTTGTAACAATCTTATAATTGATAATCATCTTGAGTAGCGTGCTTAGTGTGCTACTCCCTAATCGTAAATTATTTTGCAATGTTTTTTTTTGCCCTTGAATATATCTTGTAACAATCTTACGGGCGATTCCACATGAGACATTGAAAAAAAGCGAATGTCTGACCCATGATCAGACATGAAAGTTAACCTTTGTTATCTTGGAAAAATTCAACATTTTTAAATTGCCTTTTCTAAGGACAGAACATATATAAAGGGCAAAAAGAATACATTTCGCAGTTTGATATTAATAGGTAGCCATCACCAACACTTATCACATGACCATGACCAATTTGCAAAATATTAATTTTCTTCTACAGGAGGCGGGATGATTGAATTTTCGTTGTGGACATTACGTAATGTCCACAACATTTAAACCTTCAATTCAATCTCATGAATAATTGGTTAGACACACTAAAGAGCTATTTAGGATGTTAGATTGATGGTACAACTATTTTAGTATAAACGCTTCATTTCTATACCCTTAATTTTTTTATTAATTTCAGCTATAAACTGTTGTGGACATTACATATACGTTGTGGACATTACATATACGTTGTGGACATTACATATCTTATTCCATTTAAATACAGCAATATGCAGAAATTATGATCTTTTTGACTCATATTTCAAGTAAATATGAAATATATCCAAAATTATGGGATATCACCACCAAAATATTTTTCAGAAAGTACGTYCCATTATTTCTGATAWATTTTATATATACTTGGAATACATGTATGAGCAAAAAAGATCATAATTGYTACATATTGYTGATTCATGTATGATTTAGCAGCATTGTTAAATACACACACCATTTAAGGTGTGAATATATATCAGTTCTTTAATCTATAGCTGACGAGTTCACGCTTGACGATGAATGATGGGCAATCAGGGCAAGATTACAAAATATTAAATGTACCCCATATTAGGAGTTGTCAATCAAACTATTGTAGATTCACATTSTTCTGAGTTTGTTTACTTCAGCGACGCCTGGCGAATTTAAGACGGCTCGATAAATTAGCCAGCACTCGCTCTCAAATTCGCCCAAAAACCGTTTTTAAGTGATTTTTAGAGTCATTTGCTGCTCGACAGAAGCCCCTAGGACTGCATTATAAAGCTTGAATAGGCGGGAAGCGATTTTTCGAAGACAAGACGAAGTTAGCTTTGAATTGCGGACATTAGAGAAAGTTCGCCTCCCTAGTCGTACTGTGGCAGATTTCAGAACCTACCAAGGTAAAATTGGCAAGTTTTAACATCCAAAGAATGCAATTGGTGCAATATTTTGCCTGTAGGTGCGAGTGGCTTGACACTAAAAAATCTATGAAAACAAGACCATTGGGCGCTCCCTGTCAAGTTTGAACCTTACTCCCATGATGCAGTTCGAACGCGCAAGGGAGAAATCTGTGTTTTCTGTGCTGGGTCTCAAAAAGGGGCCTGTGGCTTGATCTGCGGAGACTTCTACCAAACAGAAATGCAAAAATTCTTAAGACCTGGAGTGGTCGATTTCAAAAAACCTGGAATTTCGATTTGCAAAAGATGATTTCGATTCTAAAACTGAAGACGAAGAGACGTGATTCCCACCCTTATCCGGTGCAGCAAAAAGTCGAAA